GAGCGAAAAGTAATACAGGTTGTAATACTGAATGTATTTGAGAGAAGGAAGAAGGTGCTAAGAGAAAAAGGCAGGGAGTAAGACTATTGTCTTGTAAGTTCAATGAGGAAAAAACGTTATCCTCAAACAAAAGTGGCTTTGCTCTATACTCTAAAAGCTAAGTAGTAAGTGCTGCAGTACTGTATCGTGATGGTCTAAAGCATCACAAAGTAAGATGGTGCAGCAAGAGATACTGTAATATACTTGTAGGAGGATGCATGGAGACCAGACAGTCCTTCATCACATGTTGAGTTATTTCTGCAATGAAATGGCAGAGAGCTCTCAGACCTTCAGTAAACACTTTGTTGCTGAGGTTCAGGAGAAGGTCAGTCCTCCGGCAAATCAGTCGTACCCATTCCAGCAACTGTTAGTGTTCTGGATGAGAGCAGCTCCAGTGTTCCAAGGGTCAGGTGAAATCTAGTGGCAGCCAAAATACACACCATGTTGCCCAGCATTTGTTTTTTTTCTTCACAAACACTGATTCCAGTTTTCCCTAAATACATGTGTCCTGTAGACTGGGCAAGGCTGAAACTCATGGCCTTTACTGAGTATTAGTCACAACTAAATTGAACATGGAGAAGAAGAATGCTATAAAAATGTTTGTAATGCATTTAGTTTTATAACAAGATTTATTGAAGAGAGGGAGTGTTGAGAAGAACTATTTCCCAATCCCCAAATAACATATTTTACATGTGGCTGGAGCAAACTGGTATACTGTTTCCCTTGCCTATGCATTGGTGGATTTCTCTTTTTAAGCTGTATTGGCACTATCTTGCTCTCAGGAACAGATGTTGCTGGAGAATGAGCATGAAGTTGATGGAAGAGTTATGCAGCATGAGCTCAGGCTGTACAGACAGAAACTGAAAGACTAAATCTGCATTTTGTAGATTTACAAGCTGTGATGGGACAGATTGTAATAGCTACTTCCAGACACTGTAAGGACTATTTCAGTTGAGGTCGAACCTGACCTGTTTCCTTTTGAAGGACGTTTGTCTGAGAGCTGTCCTCTAAGAGGGTAGGGCTGTACCATTGAGCATGACTGTAACTCAAGAATTCTCTTTTTTCATTCCCTAAACAGTCTTCTCAGGCAAAACAAAGTTGCAAAAGGCTTTTTGCGTATGTTGAAATATGTAGGACAGTTGAACTCAATTATTTTTCTTTCTAGGGCTAACTGCTATTGCCTTGGCAAGGGATTTCTATAAACATCCCAGCACATCTGGGATTTATTATGAGATAGACAATCTCTTCTACCTAAAGATATGCAGCTTCAAAACAAGTGTTCTCTTTGCTACCCTCCTTTAGGTGTGGCTGGTTCATAGTTAGCAGTAGACAAGATGAATTTGTGCCTCCATATTCTGGAAGAATCGCCCTTCACACTTCTTTTCCCTTACTTTCCTATGCCAAACTCACTCTTTGCAAGAGCTGGTTCAGTACGATATGAGAACGGAAGAAAAAATAATGGGAAAGATTATCATTTCTGACATAAATCAAACTGCTTTTAAAAAAATGAAGGCAATGGTCTACCAGGCTCAAGCAGATCAGTGTGTTAGCATCAAGGAAAGATCCTGTCTCTGTATAAGCAATGTTGTATTATGTTTATTATGTCAGGACTGAATTTTTTTAAATGGTCCTGAAGAAAGTAAGCTCTAAATACTACTGAATGCTTTGAAAATCTTATCTGCAAACACTGTTATGGCTTTTTTCTTCTTCCCTTTCACCAATTTTTTTTTTTCTTAAACTTCGTCTGAGACAATTCACAGACCCTAATCCATTAAAAAATGACCTATGCTCTAGGACGCAGACTGATCTAGATTCACAAGCCTGTCAACAGGGTTTCGAACATAAACTTAACTTGATGTCTTGGTAAATAGTGTGAAATAAACAGAATGAAATTCAGCATCACTTCATTAACACATGCAAGTACAATGCTTTGGTGTTAAGTAACTTCATGGTAAGTTAGGGAGAAGGAATGACCTAGGCAACACGTTCATAGGAAAAGATCAGAGGATGGATCAGTCTGAATACAGCCCAAATATGTGAAACTGAGGTAAAAAAGACAGGAAAAAATGGCACCCCATTTTTAGTAAGCAGGAGCTATGTGTACTGCAAGGCCTTGTTTGGTGTTTTATATCTGGGCTTGGCTGCCACATTTCACCAGTGATACAGGCTGTGTCGTGCTAGATGTTGGATAGCTGGAGCCCATATGTTGCAACAAAAACTGGAATTGACTTTTTTTTTTTTTGTATATAGAAGAAAGTCTGGCTGCTTGAGGCAACCAAAAGTGCTTAAGAGCCTCACAAAGAGTGGAGAACAATATAGTTAAGTACCATATTTCTTACTGTGTTGAGAGAATTGTGGCTCAGATAGCTAATTCTGTCTCAAAAGTACTCTTTAGAATGCGCAATGTTGCATAAATGGTGGAAGCGTTCAGCTGGCTGAACACATACTATTACTGTGTATCTCACCTAAGTCACACAGTGACAGCTATCACAGAAGCTATTGTAACATATATGATTAATGCCAGGAGAAGCTGAGGCAAATGTCATTTTCTTTCAAGTGTTAGTCTCAGATGGCCAGGTCTTCTATGCAGTTTCAGAATCATGTTTTTACCATCCAGGATCCTGTAGAACGTAAGGACTGTGGTGGAAATGGTGAGGTGCAGTTCCTAAGTTCTGCTGTTCCGTGTTTACTTTGGTCTGCAGTGGTCTGCACATGCTAATCTCACCCATATGTCTGGCATACACTAATTACTGCTGTTTTTAATCTGAGGACTATGTAAAACATGAGGCATATTTCCATTAGAAAAAGAGATAGTTTAATGTGGTTATTTTTGGCAAAGAAAACCAAATAAGATATTTGTAATACATAGTGCTTAATTTCTTGCAAAACTTGGCTTGAAAGCTTTGGCTTCCTGTATTGAAAGCAAAGTTTGGACAATTTTAATCCTGGAGGGATCAATTTATCCCTTGTTTATTATGATAATAAAATAACATTTTGAAAGGAAAAACAAACTAGAAGTCATCAATACCAGACATAAATATGAATTGGACATAAAACTTGACTCTACCCATGATGAATTTGAAATTTTTACTCCCACCATGAAGTGAAGGCCAACTGATCAACTGATGTCAACCTCTGCAGCAGGAAACTGTTTCTTTCCATCAGCTGAAATTACCATTCTATATCAGCTCCAAGGCAGGTGAACAAACCTGTCCTTTCTGTACATGGTCAGATTTCATGATACTCACAATTTTGTTATTCAAATTTTTTAGCAAAATTTGTTAATAAGCTTTGAAACAGTCTCTGTCTGAAACTACTTTTAAGACCTACTGGCAGAACAACAATGCCATGTAGTGATCAGTCATTTGTTTCCCAAGAGGCATTTAAAATTTTTACCAACTGTTATTTAATAAGAAATGCCTCGTGCAGAAAAAAAAAACCAAAAAAACACAGACACACATTCTTAGAGAAAACAGCATCAGCTCCATGCACTGCATACAGTGAGCCACCACAGGCTGCCATCTGCTAAACCTCTTCAGGAAAACAGGCTTTCAGCTCAGCACTGACATTCCTTTTGTTCTCAAAAAATAAGTTCGGATGCCATTGTTTTGTCACCGTCCCATTAAAGGGAAAGCTGAGAAGTTTTGACATGTCTTATATTTTGGGGTCATTGTAATTATCAAAGGACCGTGAGATCTCAACAGGTGAGGAGCACAGCTCCTCATTCTACTGCTAGTAGCAAACTGGAGAGACTGCAGTATGTGTGGAGTCTTCTACAATATTGAGGTGAGATGAGTTATTTTTTCTGCGTTTCTAATGCCAGAGTATGAGATAATTTCCTTCCAAGTGTTGAAATTTAGGGTTATTCTTACACTGTGAAAGAACAGAATTTCTTACTGCTCTTCTGTCATCTTAAGTGGTCAGGAAAAGCAGTGATTCAGATGGAGAGCATGACGAGCAATCTTAGTGCTGGCTCTGTATCAATGATGGGATGTTAAGATTGGCTGTTTTTTGAAGTTTTACTTGGCCCAATCTGAAACTGTGAGGCCTTATGTGTATCAGTTTAGAAGAACCCCTTCTACCAAGAGTAATCAAGACAGTATTACTGCAGAACACACCCTTGTAGCTTTCCTTTCATGTTTGAAGAAATGTTCCTTCTGTTGCCTTGATCTGAAGGCCATCATTGCTCCCCTTGAGAAAGACACAGGAAAGGGAAAGTTATGGAGGAACGGGGAGACATTACAGCAGGAGTCAACTATGGTTTGGTGAGAATCTGCAGGTAAATAGAAATAGAGACAGGAAAGCAGTGGGAGAGGAGGCAAAGTGGTTCAAATAAGAGCCAAATCAATGAGAGAAAGGAGATCCAGAGACTGTAAGGTACATTTCAAAGATATATTTTCTATGTTTTTCAGTGCTGGGTGGAGGCGTCACTGCAGCAGCTCGTGCTGTCTGCGGAGGAATGTTGCCAGGATGGCAGCCAAGGGATTGGCAGTGACAGAAAATAAGCTTTTCTGGTGTCAGCAGCAGCATCATTTCTTGCTACTTTTTTTTTTTTTTTTGTCAGAACCTTTTTCTGTAATGCTTCCTTCTTCCCCTTTCACTTATTTTCAGCTGCTCATCAGCTTGCCTTGATGTCAAGTAACTCTACTAAATACTGAATGCAGCAATCATTGCAACTGAGAGCAGAAATAGGAACTCTGGCCAAAAAAAAAAAAAAAAAGCCGAAAAACAACTGGCTGAATTCTGACCTTTAGATAAGCCTATATGGTCTACACATTAAAAGTTTATAATCCCATATACCCTGACTTGTAAATGTACTCTGTGTCAGAATGCTTTTGAGTTTCCTGTTACAGAAACTTGGTGTTTTGACAGGGAGAGCAGCACATGTGAATGTGTGGAGAAGGATAGCTGTCAGAAGGATGCTGTAATCATCCCCAGTAATCTCTGATTTGCATTGTTAGGATCTCTGTCAAGACCCTTATCTGTTTGTGAATGGAATCAGCTCTCATGACTTGCACCAAGGCAGCTTGGGGAACTGCTGGTTTGTGGCTGCATGCTCCTGTTTGGCACTGAGGAAGACACTCTGGCAGCAGGTAGGTGACCAGTGTGCTTTCTGCATGAAGAATTTAATAATATGCACGAAGAATTTAATAGTATGACTTGGATGAATGGTGAATGTTGGTGCGTTTAAATCCTCCTTTTCATTAAAAGTTCATTTTTTTTCAGAAAAGATGCAGCAAAGCAATGGTCATTCTCTGCAGATCTGTTCAAATATTACTTTTCTAATAGTGTCTTTAAGATAGGTTATCTTTGTACAAAATTAACCACCTTTTTCACTACTTCATCTATTTAAGGTCAGCTGCTGATGAAACTGAATACCAGCCACTTCGTGCTCCAGGGCACTCAGCTTTCAGAATAAATCTTAATGTAATGCATTTAGTGAACTTTCCCTTATATTGTTTCTTAGGTGATTCCAGACTTTCAAGAACAAGAATGGGACCCTAAAACACCAGAGAAATATGCTGGGATTTTCCGTTTCCGTTTCTGGTGCTTTGGTATATGGACAGAGGTGGTTATTGATGATCTGCTGCCAACAATTGATGGGACATTGATCTACTGCCATTCCAATGTGGAAAATGAATTCTGGAGCGCATTATTGGAGAAAGCTTATGCAAAGTATGAGCCAGTTCATTGTCCTTTTAGATCTCAGCGCTGACCCTTCTATCTGCTTATTTTCTCTCTCAGTTCTATCATACTTTCAAGGATTTTAGGTTTGCTCCCAGTAGAGAACCTAAGAAGTTGAAAGTTTCAATGCACAGTACTTTAGCAGCCCAAAGCCTTAAAGACCTTTCCACTCCTTTCATAGCAAAGGTTTATCTGCAATCTGCTGTTTTGCTTAGGTTTGTTTTCCCTGGTGAGCCACAAATACATTATCTAAATTCAAACTAAAGTAAAGCACTTCTAAAAGCACAGAATAAAATGAATTAAAATGTTCTGTTTTACCTCAAGGTTGGCTGGATCTTATGAAGCCCTGGATGGAGGCAGTGCTGCAGATGCGATAGTGGATTTTACTGGAGCAGTGGCAGAATCTATTGATTTGGTACAGGGAAAATACAGCGAGACTATTTCAGAGCAGATGAAGCTGTTTGAAGATTTGTTGAAAGTGCATAAAAGAGGCGGGCTGATCAGCTGTTTCATCGCGGTATGTATGGCGAGCTGGATTTTTGGAGTTTATTTCAATGAACTTTCTTACCTGGAAAAAATGTTACTATGAGATAAAAGTATATTCCATGTGATTTTCATTTGTATGTTTTGGAAAAGCTTTGTTTGGAAAAAGCTATCAAGTTGCCAGTGCTCTCAGCCAAGTACAATTCCAGGAGTCACTAAATAGAATCACAAAATCACAAAGCCATTTGTGCTGTTGGCCACTTTACTCTGGATCTGAAATACCATTCTTTGTATATATCTGTGACTTCAAATGGTCACAGTTGTGTATTGACATAAGGTTAATGCACCTAGAATGCCCTAATTTACAGGCCAGTTGGCAGCATTCCATTTCTTTACTGCTCAGGGAAATTCATTTACAGAAAACTGTTCTCTCAACACTAAGTTGCTGAGTCTTCTTTACTCTGGCTGTGAAGTTACAGTCATCTTGCTGGTGTAACAATGGAGTTGAGATATGCTACTATACCGTATCTCGCAGCTCCTCATCCAGGCGCTTCTTGAACACTGCCAGGGGTGGCAACTCCACCACCTCCCTGGACAGCCATTCCAGTGCCTGACCACTCTCTTCCTTAAGTCTAACCTAAACTTTCTGGTACAACTTGTGGCCATTTCCCTGGGTCCTGTTTGTTGCCTGGGAGAAGAGGCCAAACCCCTCTTCACCACAGCTTCCCTTCAGGAAGTTGTAGAGTGCGATGAGGTCTCCCCTGAGCGTCTTCTTCTCCAGACTAAACAATCCCAGCTCCCTCAGCTGCTCTTCATAGGACTTGTGCTCCAGACCACTCACCAGTTTCGTTGCCCTTCTCTGGACACGCTCCAGGGCCTCAATGTCTTTCCTGTAGTGAGGGTCCCAAAACTGAACACAGCACTCAAGATGCGGCCAGTGCTGCCTCCCTGCTCCTGCTGGCCACACTATTTCTAATGCAGGCCAGGATGCCCTTTTGGCCACCTGAGCACACTGTCGGCTCACATTCAGCTGAGCATCAACCAACACCCCCAGGTTCCTTTCCTCTTCACAGTTGTTCAGCCACTCATCCCCTAGCCTGTAGCGCTGCATGGGGTTGTTGTGGCCAAAGTGCGGGACCTGGCACTTGGCCTTGTTGAACCTCTTTCCATTCACCCCAGCCCAGCAATCCGGCTTATCTAGATCCCTCTGAAGGGCCTCCCTACCCTCAGGTGGATCCACACCACCTCCCAGCTTGGTGTCATGGCCTACCTTAGCTACTTCCTTGTAATCTCCCCAAGTAGCCTGTCCCTTCTTCCAGAGGACATAGAGTCTCTTTTTCTCCCTGAGTCTCAACAGTAGTTCCTGACTCATCCACACCGGTCGTCTACCCCTGCGGCTCGCCTTACGGCACTCAGGGACAGCCTGTTCTTGTGCCTTTAAGATTTCCATCTTGAGGAGCGTCCAGGCTTCCTGGACCCCTTTACCCTTAAAAAGCGACTCCCAAGGGACCCGTGCTACAAGCGCCCTGAACAGATCAAAGTCTGCCCTCTGGAATGTCATGGCTGAATTGCACGTCATCGCTGTTGTGCAATTATCTAGAATAGCAGGAAATAGCCGTGTTTGGAGATGCCTGAGAATCTTACATGTCTAGCTGTGCCTGGCCACAAACTGTCTTGTACCAGTGCCATGCTACCAAAGACAAACACCTGGTCCCTTGTGGGAAGTTAACTTGAACCTGAGAATTCAGCTAGAGTAGGAGTCCTGAACCATCCCTCCCAGCATAAGACAACAGCTCAGAAATAAATTCTTCTATGTCTTTGGTGTTTGTTTTACCTTTGTCAGAAGGTTGGAATTTGTATTTAAAAATACAAATCTGGTTTGCTTGGACCAGGCTGGCAGACCAGACTTATCAGTGTGATTGTTATTAACTGTGTTTGTGAAAGAAATCATTGTCCCACATGCTGAGTCAGTTCAGTTTCCTAACATGGATCTGTTGTAGGGGTAGACAAAATCTAGGGAGTTGTATTTTAGAAATCAATTAATTAGGCAGTTGTAATCCTTTCACGTCTTCCTGGAGTCATATTTCTGCCTGTCAAATTAAATGCAGATGTCTCTAAGCTTGGTTACACGGGGGCCTTTCCTATTGGTTTGGCTTGACTCATCTACATTTATCACTTTTTGATAGATATACTGTACACATAATGAAGCTTGCTAGATATAGAATATTTAATCCTTGAGTGGCTTCCTTGCTAACCTAAACACATTATAATTTTCCTCATATTACAAAAAATAGCTCTAATCTTCACCATTTGGAAATTTGAACAACAGATGCTAAAATATCTCAGCTAAATAAATAAATACGTGTCTCCAGAAGAAAGACAGCCCAGCAGTTGAGAAAGGCTTGGAGGATAATAAAAACAGCAGAGAATGTACAGACTCCTGTGCTGTGAAAGAGTCTTGTTTTCTTTTAGTTGTGAAAAATGCAAGTGAAATTGTTACACTGGAGGAAGCACAAACCCTTTGGAAATGTCTGTCAGTCTTGATGTAACACATGTGCTGATTCTTTAGGAGCTGTTGATGGTGAAAGGCAAAGAGGTCTGGGAGAGTGTCTCACACTTGCAAAAGCATCTGTCTTTTCTGATTTGACATAAATTTATCTTTTGCCTCTTCTTATTTTTTTCTGATTTCTTCTCTCTGGGACTGAACGCTTTAGTATCAGTGCAACACTTGCCTGAGGAGAAAGGCTGGTCTGTTTAGACCAGAGAAATTTTAAAATGGGTAAAAATATTGGAAATAGTACAGTGCATTTCACAATTCTTGTAAGTCCATCTCTCTACGCCAGAGAGTCTTGCTTGATCATTGAGCTCTTAATTAGACTATTGTGAGTTACATATGAGATCTGCACTGGGTCAAATTTGCCTTTCTTCCTGTCCGAGTGAGTGAGTGTTTCAAGTGTATGGATTATGGCCCAATACAAGTGAGATTCTGGATATGGTTCATTGCAAAGCTGCCCAGGCTGGCATCAGATAGCGTATGATCAATCCAGAGGCATAACCATTTGGGTTGTTTCTGGCTCGGAAGCAACATTATAGCACTGCCACAGCTTTACTTTTCCCACTCTCCTGCCCGGTCTATGCGCTGCAAAAACAACACTACACTGACTTTGTCAAGGGCCAGTCATTAACGTCAGCTCCAGCATCTGTATTTGATACTGTTTTTCTGATCTTAGGTGTACTTAAAAGATGTTGGTTTTGATACGTTAAATGAAATTGTGTTCTTTTTTGGTAAATTTTGGCAAACGTTCTGTATGCTTAGATCTGCATTTCACTGAACCTAGGGCATCCAGCAGGACAGTCTACTGCCTGGTCCCTGTTGGTAACCAGGCTTCTTTTTGAAGTCTATGAGAAGCAAACCCAGTTTCTAAGAAAGCCTGCAGCTCTGTTAAAGAAAATTAGCTTTCCCTGTCCTGCCCCTCGAATGTGTAGATGTCCTCAATGACATGAGTTCTCTTTTTTGTCATTTTTGGTGCTGAAGACTTCTTCTGGAAGAGCCAATGAGCTGGAGAGAAAGACGGGTCTCGTTGCTGGTCATGCCTACTCAGTGACTGCAATTCGGAAGCTGCATCTTGGAGAAAGTCTGACATTCTCTTTTAACGCAGAAAAGCTTTTCATGGTCAGGCTGAGGAATCCCTGGGGAAACAGAGAGTGGAATGGTGCCTGGAGTGACAAGTAAGTGCTGACAATCCAGTGTTAAAGGAACAAGATTGTGTTTAGAACCATCAGAAGCTGGACATGATATTAAATACAAAGAGATAATGACAGCCTGCAGTGTTCAGTGAGATCTGAAATGTTCTGTTATCTCTTCCCATTCTGTGAGCACATCCAGGAGCAACCAGGAGGTTATAAATTTCTGGACCTTAGAATACATCGTTCTTCTGACCCACTGGATCTTGAGTAGAAAAATAGCCTACAATTAAGGTGATGAGTCAAGAACACGAGGTTTGTTCCCAGCTTCACTACTGAGTTTGTTTGTGACTCAGTTTGTCATCTGCTGGGGATGGTACCAATCTTTCGTTCTTAACAAATTTAAGTAGCTGGTGAAAAATGCTGTAAAATTACCATATTCATAGTTTCTTGAGCTATTTTATATTGAGCTTTTATACAGGCTGTGAGCCTAGCAGGCACCCCTACAGAGTTGGCAATGACTGTTGGAGGAGGTGTATTCCATTGCTAGCAATTAACACATGAAAAACATTTAATTAGAATATTAAAGTTCAACATTGTGCTTACCAGCCACTGTTAATATTCAATAATGCAATGTTCTTAACAGTATAATAACTTCTTATCTTCTATGCTTCAGCTAGCAAAAATTATTGGTTTTAAACAAGAGTTTGGTTCAGATGAAATACTAAGCTGACAGAATGCTAAAAAAAACCAAAAAAACAAAAAAACCCCTATTTTTTAACAGAGAAGCAGGGATGTAAAGGTTGGAGGCCATCTGGGGCAAAGTGATCACAAAATGATAGATTTTTTTGATCCTTGTTGAAGCACAGAGGGGAGTCAGCAAAACTGCTGCCTTGGACTTATGGAGGGCACACTTTGGTCTCTTTCAGACCATGGTTGAAAGAGTCACTTAGGAGGTAGTTCTGGAGGGAGCCCAGAGAGGCTGGGAATACTTTAAGGAAGTTATTTTAAAGGTGCAGGAGCTGACCATTCTCAAGTCACAGAAGACGAGCTGATAGGGAAGGAGACCTGTCTGGCTGAGCAAAGACCTTTGGCTGGAACTCATGCACAAAAAGAAAGTTTATGGTTTTTGGAAGAGGGGGCAAGCAACTTACGAGGATTACAAATACATAGTGAAGCTGTGCAGGGAGAAAATTAGGCCAAAAACAGCTAGAACTGAGCTTGGCCACTAATGTGAAAGACAACAATAAATATTTCTATAAATACATCAGCAGTATGAGGAGGACAAAGGAGAATCTCCATCCTTTGTTGGATGCAGAGGGGAACACAGGATCAGGATAAAACTGAGGTACTTAATGCCTTCCTTGCCTCAGCCTTTGACAGTAAGACTATAGTTGCTAAGGCAATTCAGAGTAGTATTACTCTGGAAACTGGAAGCTAGACTTACATTGCAATAGTTTCTTCTCAAAGGCTCACTGGGAAATCTGTGGAGCCCTCCTACCTCTCAAGGAGATTGAAAGACAAAGCTAATACTCTGATTTAGGAAGTGTTCAATACGCTCTTGATTAGCAAATCCATGTTTCTTTGAAGATCTTTTAAGAAACTGAGTCATTCTCATATGACCTTCCAAAATAACTCTTTAGGACAGTTAGAGTGTAACAAAGGAAATCAATGAAGTTCTGCTCTAGATGTGCCAATTTGCTGTTCACCTCTTTTATTTCTGGTATCTTTCAAATCAGTTAATGATTTTAAACTCCTTCTGTAAGCCATGTACCCTTTTCTTGAATATCTACCATTTATATTCCAATGTTATTTTTATAAAAAGGGACCATGAGAGAATTTTACTTTTAATTGTTTTTTTCAGATAAGAATATTTAATTTTATTTAGTAATTTTTTTTGTTATGTTTTTTTTTTTTTTTCTAGTTCTGAAGAGTGGAAGAAAGTCAGCAATGCGGAGCGTAAACGTCTGGGACTCATTGTTGAGAATGATGGAGAGTTCTGGTGAGAGGGGTTGGAAATAATGGCTACATTGAGTAATCACAATTATCTCTGCAATTCAACAGCTTCAAAAACAACTTTCCAATATGAGTAATAGATTATCCAGTTAGCACAAGGTCTGCTTCTTTTAAACTCCCAAAAGGTGACAGAGAAAACAGAGGAAAAAAAAAAAAACAGATTCAAAACTAGTAGAACCAAATAAGTAGTTCTCAGTAAATACAAGCTTCAAACGCCTTCAAAATATTTCAGAATATATTATCTACATTTATGAGAGTCATTTATAATCTGAGATAACACATGTACTGGTTTACATGACAGAACACCAAATATTGAACACACTGTCAGTTTTGGTTAGTGACTGAGTCTATTTGTAGGATTTCTAGGTAAACCAGGACCAAGGTGCCAGTAAATGCAATTGCAGCAAATGAATTTTGGTGTTTGTCAGTTTTTTCCAACACAAGGACAGGAAGTGTCCATTTTCTACAGAATCTGTAGAACTCAAATCTCTTCTGTCTTGCTTAAAACTCCAATAAGGCAGTCCAGCAGCTTTTTCAGTTGATCATCAGTACTGCATCAAATGTGCTAGTAGGGCTCAGTATGGAAAATCTTCTGTTTTACTTTGTCAGAACTGGCAAACAGAAGCCACCTGTAGGATTTGATCCTGGAGCATTAGTGGGCCAGTACACTATGATAGTCCAGAAATACCAACCTGTTATCTTTTACAAAAAAGGAGCAAATATTTTCTAACTGTCCTGACATCCAGCCTGTTACCATGGCAGATGGAGGTTATAGCATTGAGATGCTGATGATCCAGAGCATTTAGGTTTGAATCTTGTTCATGAACAGATGTAACAAGGACCATAATAGTGTTCTGGAGGAGTGGACAGTTCTTTGGTTGCAGGTGATCTCCCTTCTCTTTGCAAAAACTAAAGTTATCAAATCCAGCCTGGTAGATACAACCAGTCATTTTGGCTTAATGCTCTGAGGTGATATTTTTTAAGTGAAATTCTACCATGGTTTGATTGTGGCTTCATGAGTATTTCCACATGGAGAGGTTTCTGGTGAATCCATCCTCTGGAAAGCTAAACAATGCCTGCTGTTAAATCACTGGAAGATGTCATGTGTTATTTTGGCTCTTTGAGTGAATAGCACTGTTTACTTTTAAATAAACCATGATTTTCCTGGTGTCCTGTGGAATAGGATGACATTTGAGGACTGGTGTAAGAATTTCACTGATGTGGACATCTGCCGGATTGTAAATACCTCCTACTTCAGTATCCACAAGACCTGGGAGACAAAAATGATGCATGGGGCTTGGGCAAAGAGTTCAGAGCCCCTGCTAAATCGCTGTGGCGGGTGCTTTGATAACACAGAGACCTTTCTTCAGAATCCCCAGGTGAGAGTCTCTACTTTGCACAAATTTGAAGTTTATCCACTTAACTAGAGTTTTTGAAGTAGATAGAGAAGCAGTTCTTCCCTCCTCTGATTAAGTGTCAGTGCCTCCTTTCTCCTTTCAGAAAGTGATTTTATTCAGATATCCCCATGTATTAATCTGAATGCATTCCATGTGCTTGTCTGGGCCTACTTGTAAGTCTTTAGCTATCACAGAGAACAAAATATAATTGTTACGGTTGAATGCAATGCCTGATGTAATGGAAGTTCTTATTCCAGTTGTCTCTAGGCTAGTTAATTAAAAGTCTCTTAATGGCAGAGCTGAAACACATTTATGTTAGCTTAGGGCCATCGTAAGTTACTATGGCACATACTACTGCAGTCTAGAGAGACGCTCTGTTCTCCCTCTCACTGCTTGACACTGAAACCTCTTGTGAGGTTCATCTGTGTTGAGGGGGGCTTTGACACTTCCAGTTCCATTAAAGTAAGTGAATTTAAGCCTCCAAGTATGTAGGCATCCCTACAGCCACCTGCTGATTTTCAGGTTGGTACCTATTAGGACAGCTGAAATGTCATCAGTTCAAAGATCACCACAGTTGCACACCTCTCATCAGTCTCTCTTGCGCTCTTAAAGCTCCCCTTCCACACCTCTATTTGCTCTAGGACACCCTAGGCTGTCTGACAGTATAACACTGTCTACAGTTCAGAAGGGATAAAAATAAAAATGTGTCTGACTGCATGTCTCTGCATATTTTTATATGCAGAAAGAAAGAAATAAAATCCAGAGTGAGATACTTTGAGTGTTTAATTCTTTATCGTATACAGAAACACCCATCGGATGTTTTCCATCTGCATAAAGCCCACAGATTCACTTTTGAACTGATCTGGTAGAACTGTTTTAGTACTGTATTCAATTCAAGAATCATTTATTGAGATAGGAATTGGTGCCTAAGCTTGAAATAATTTGCTTTGATTGGTTTTAAACCCAGGTCAATTCAAGTTTAAACAGTCTGGATAAAAGATCTGCATGTTAAAGATGCAGAAGGCCTTCTTAGTCCTTTTAACAGTGTGTTTCTAAGGCTTTCAGAAAATCTGAGAAATACCATAATTAACATTCCTGTCATTCTTATATTAAATAGAAATTGTAGATGCAAGTGTTTAAAAAAAAAAAAAAAATTAACATTTGGAAGATACCTTCCTTTGCAGGTCCTGTATGAAAATGATATTTGAAACTTACTGGCCCTGCTTAGATATTCAGCTTCAGAGAATAATCTAAAATGAATAAAGATCCCATCTGGAATCTATTGGTTTATTTTTTTTATCTCATTCCTGATTTACATACACCTAAATGAAAGTCTAAGAGCAGCTCTTTCCTTTTGCTGCCTCAGCAGTTATTTTTTAATGCTGTCTCATGCTGCACTGTTAGGCAATTTACCTGCTTTTTTTTATATTTGTGCTTTTGTGGGTTTTTTTTTTTGTATTTTTATTTTTAATTAGTATTAATTTTCAGATGTAAATTGCTGAGAACGTGCTATGCATAACTTTCCTCCTACCTTCAAATGTGTTTTCAGTTCCCTCCTTTTTATGCATCCATTTCCTTGGTGATAGCTTTATCCTCTGTCTAATAAGGCTTTTTTATCAGCTTACTCTCCTCTCTCTTATTCTAGTACATCTTTGATGTTAAGAAGACAGAAGACAAAGTGTTGATCTCATTACAACAGGAGGATCGGCGCAGGAGCAAAAAAGTAGGGAAAGGAGACAACATCATAATTGGTTTTGAAATCCTCAAGGTAGGCAGCCATCTATACAACTGGTTCTGAGTTAGTTCTGAAATCTTCCTTTATTCTGGCAAATTAAATCTTTGGCAGATAGAGGCATGATTATCACAGAGGGATCTGGCTCTCCTTTCCACAAGTTCTGTGTGTATACTGCATTCAGTCACTACAGCTGACATTTGACAGACTATTTGAACTGCACTGAATTTAGTTCAATGCAAACTCTATTTGAACTGAAGGAGCATAAGTCATTTTTACCTGCTGCAAAAGAATTCTAAATGTTTTTCATTATTCCAAACTTTGAGAAGACAGATTTTTTTTTCTTTCTTCACAGAAAAAAGTACTAATGCTTGAAACATGGAGGTTTTATTTCTCTGTCTCGCTGGAAGCTCCTACCTCCATTCCACCAGCAAATACAGTCAAGTAAATGAGTTCTGAAAGACTGCAGTTTTTCTTTTCCCACTTAGAGAAGTCAAAAGTGTCAAGAGCGATTTCAAAAGCTAGTGAGTAGGAAATGAGAACACGTGAAAAGAAGCCAATGGGATCCCAAATAGTAATTTAATTACACTCCTAGGGCAAATTGTGTAAAATGAAAACACAAGAACCAAAAGCAGGAGGAGGAAAGCAAGAGAAACAGCTATGCATCTGCTTTTTCACCAAGGAGAGGGATTATTTTATAATCCCTTGCTATAACTGGTGGGGCTGCACTCAGGCTATGGCCCTACTTCAAAAATAGTCAGTTTTTAAGTCAGTCACAGCTGTTGGCATCTATATCACACCTGTATGTTTGACAACCACCTGCTTACCAAATGTATTGAAAAGTGTCAATCTAGAAAGTAGCATAATCTCCCCGTGCCTTGCTCATGTCTAGTGCGTGCATCTAATTGCTAGGAAGGCTTGGAAAAGAAATTGCACCTTCAGAAAAATGTCAGTGCTGTGTCTTTAATTTCTGTTCAATAATTTTCTATTTCAGAAAAGTTGGAAACTGCCAGATTTGTTAATACAGCTATGGGCCTTCAGAAGTCCATGCTGTAAATTATCAGAAGACAAAAGAGAAGTACCAGAAAAGAATGCAGGGCTGTGATTGCTCACAGGAGAATAGGTTGATGTTTTAACTGTGCTGTGGCAAACATTAGTTGCCTGAATAGTATTAATATTTAAGCACAGCTTCACAAAACAAAATATAAATGATAATTCTCTAGCTTTTTATTTTCTGTAATTATTCAGGGAAGAATAAAGTAAATATGGCTGTGTGCATCTGTTCATGCGCCCTGGATTGAGAGTTTGCAGTATAAGACTGAAATGCTGCATCTCACACATGGAGTACAGCATGCTATAGAAAGCAGGCAGATAAGTCTCATCCTCATCTAAGATGGCAGTGTAGCTTAGCAGCTGAACTCCTTGAAGTGTGCATGCATCTCTGCAGATATTCAAAATTCTGCAGTACCATAATGTCTGTTAGTGGACAAATGTCTTTGCCAGTCTCAAACTATCACCTCCACTTAGGGATGTATGAGTACATGTATATACCAACACAGTGAAGTGCAAAACAGCACTTCTTGGGAGCCAGTATGGGCTAGCATTGGGAGCACTAAGTTGACTGTCAGGAGTCTGTCTGTGTCACAACTGCAGTGAGTGAACTGTGAAAAACCACAGTGTTTTTTCTGCTTGTGAAAAGCTGCGTGATACGCAGGGAAAATCCTGCCTGCTGTCTCTGATATTCCTCCTTGCACTAATCTTTATATTGCTCTGTGGTTGTAGGTAGAAGATAACAGAAGGTATCGACTACACAAGCTGACTGTGCAGGAGAGAGTAGCCACATCTCCATACATCAATACACGCAATGTATTCTTGAAGAAGATCCTTAAGCAAGGCCGTTACATCCTTATCCCAACTACGTATCTTCCTGGCATCGCTACAAAGTTTATCCTGAGACTCTTCACTGATGTGCCATCAAAGCTCAGGTACTCTGCACTCACAGTTGCATGAGACTTTCCTTTGCCTGTATTGGCTGCATCTTCTCGAAAATTGTTGCCTGGTTGCCCTCAAATATTGTTGACTCATTAGCTACAACTAGTGTTGTATCACTTCAGAACTGCAGGCGTCCTTCAAGATAGCCTGAGTCACCTCCAAGAATCTCTAGGTGGTATGCTGGCTTTTGTGTATGCTCAGGACATTTTTGCTTGATGACTTAAGAACAACTGAAACTCTTGATCTTTTAATCTGGCTTCTGTACTTGCCTCAAGTTTTTGTGCAGAACTTTGAGTGTTGTACTTGTTGGTACAGCTGACACTGTCTTTAACCAATCTCATTTGAAACTGGTGGTTATCTGTGAGGGGAAAACTAGTTCTTAATAGGACTAGGTCCAATTAATTTTTGTCTTGTTTTGATATTACTTTTGTTTAAAAAAAAAAAATTCCTACCATGTTTTGTTTTGCTGTCATACAAGAGATGAAATACATTTAGTGTGGTTTGCTTTGTTTTTACTTCTTGCAAGTCTGTTATTCCTGAACCACAAATTTGCAACAAATCTCAAGTTCAGAAAAAGCCAAAAATACAAAATCATTGATAGTCTGCTTGAAATTTATTGCTGCAATTGCTTTCCTTTGATTTTTCAGAGAGCTGACAGCAGATAAGCCTGAAATGACATGTTGGAGTCTTCTTTGTGGCTATCCACGCAGAATCACCCAAATCAAAATCCACTCTGCAGAAGGCTTACAGGAGCAAGATGGATCAGGTGGTAAGTGTAAAACAAGCCTGGAAGAGTGGAAAGGGCTTCTTCAGTCCTCCAGAGTAGAGCTAAGTTGACATGTAAGGAGTCAGAAATTATCCAAACAAATTGTTTTTTCTTTTCAACACATTGTAAGATTTGTTCAAAAGGAGAACTCAGATGAATAAGACGATGTAAACTGGCAAGAGTCGTGTGACATCTATCCTGGTGCAGATGGACTGTAGTAGCCAGTCTCTCCCAAGAAGCTTTTTGTAGGGATTAGTAAGAAATTAACTTTTCAGGGGTATCTGTTTTCTGAATGGAAAAATCCAGGGAGACTGTCAAATAACATATGTGAATACACATGTGGTGTATTACACTTACCTCAGTGATATCATTCATAGCTGTCAGAACACTTCTCTCTTTGTTACCACAGGTTTAATAGCACTTCAGGGGAAGAAATATGGTGTTTTGCTAGGTACACTACAAGAGGGAGAGGTTAAATTACTAGTACAAGGCTGTGTGCCCACACAGTGAAGGAAGTGTCCTTAAACAAGAACACATAAATGTCTTTCTGGTACCTGATGTTGGCAGTTAATTAGGAAACGTGTCCAGTTGTCATTTACTTCCTCATTTTCTACTCCTATTCTCCCTCTGTCATCCTTCACTTTCCATGACCAGTGGAATAGAAGACCAGCACTAAGTCTTGGGAGGAGAGAAAGTAAATGAGCAAAGATAATACAGTGAACTTGGACCAGGCTGATGAAACATCAGCTGTTTGGTCTGGATAACTCTTCAGCTCTCTTTACTTTAAGATGTGAAACTCAATTTCTTTAACTCTCTGTGGTAAAGAAATTGCTAGACCTAGACCTTGAATACAATTCATCCTGAGACTTTTGGAACAACTGTAAGATTTCTCCCACTAGCTGGCTACAATTTTGTTCCCTTTTCATAGTTGGTCCTTGTACCACTGAGCGGTGGGTAAATCCTTCTACTGTGCAAGTCCCTTTTTGTTAACTCTGGTTGTCTCTTCAGGGGACAGGAGTGTTGAAGGGAAGAAATGTAGGGCATTGCTTTAGTTCATTTGACTTGTTACTTTTCTTGAAAAACATGAGCTACAGACACCTCAGTCAAACAAGCAGTACGGCCCCATGTTCTCAGAAAGACAGGATGCTTGGATGAGATAAATGAAGGGGCTAAATGTGACAGAAAGAGCAACACAGTCCTTTGAAAAGAGGCAGTATGTTCTTGTGCTTGCCCTGTCAAGGACATTTCCATTTTTAAGGTTTTTTTTTTCCCTCCATTTAAAATTCCTTAGACATTTTTCTCTAACATTTCCTGCAATAAAGTAGAAAGCCAATTCTCCACCCTTAGCATTTCACAATCCTTAGCACAATTACAATCTTGACAAGATCATTAACAACAATTGCCTGCAGCTGCCAAAGAGCAGGCTTCAGCTCAGAGAGTGTTGTCAGATTCAGTGCATTGTGACACAGACCTCAGGAATATACAAATAGAACATAAAACTGATGTGTAATAGATACTCCATAGCACAGCCCAAAATACTGTTAGGACCCAGTGCTACCACACATGTTCAGGTTGAGCAGAAATATCTTGCATTATGATTTCAGCACTCAGAACTGGGCTCATAACTGCCCTGACAAAAGTGGAAATGTACACTATTGTGGGAAGAACTGTATATAGGAAATGGGCTCACAGAATTTGTTTAAACATAAGCAAAATCTGAACACAAAAGCCTAAATGAATCTTATTGTTTGCCTTTGAATAAAACTTCACCAAAAACGTAAAAATATTTTCCTTTTGTGTCAACACACAGATTTTGGCAAAAGCCTTTGTCCCTTTTCAGTCTGCAGTACCATTCATGGGGCACTGAAGGAAGGCTGAGATCATTCTTTCCATCAGCATTCCCTGTTACCTTGAATTCTGCTGTGAAATCTATTTGAATCTTTCTTTATCAGCATTGTTTTTCCTTTAAGATTCTCTAACTCACAGGGTACATTCATAGATTGTCTTATAGATTGCCACATCTTATGGCATCTTTAGAGAAATGGAGAAGATAGAGTGCATAAATAAAAAATCATTAAGTCAAACATGCACATTTGTGCTATACATTAAAACCAAGCTGTGCAGTTACAAGTATAACACCAACAACTGCACTCTGCCTTCTGAGGGTGTCTTGCAGGGAAGTTTGCAAAGTTTCTGACTGATACTGGATTCCATTTTTAGTAAGACAATAAGTAGAATATGGCACATGTTTCTCACGTTTGGGTTGGCTTTTTTTTTTTTTGGTACATTGCAATACTTGAATACAGAAATTCCTTGAAACAGTGCACACATGAATTGTAAATATACACTAAAAAGTAAAGCATCACTACCATCCCTTAGCAGAGAGAGAAGGTAGAACTGAATGATCATGAAGGATTATATTATTCTTTCCGAAGCTTCTGAGAACTGAGGCATTTTATTACTTCTCTGTGACAAATTGTGTCCTGAAAACATCAGAATATCTCTATACTCTGAACTGGTGTATGGGGATGTGGAAACTAAGAGGACTCTGTACAGAGGTACCTTTTTTTGATACATCTTGCTTAGAGTGATCCTAGATTTGAATGCACTATTCATCACATCAGCCTCTCACTGTCATATGAGAGTTGGGCTTAGCACAAATTTCTGAGAAACTACTTAAAACTGGAAGAGAATGAAGATTACATAGCAAGTGCACTTCCAGCCTGGCTCATAAGCTGCTTGTCATTAGAACCCTGTCCCCTGACAGAAGAAGGTTGTTTAATCTCTGTTATAAATGTTTATTTAAAAGCTCTTCCTTGCTGCTGTCTTTAATCCATTGTGCTGTCAGGAAAAAGTAATGGATGGTTTGCTGCTAGATTAGCAGATGAATCTAGCTGCCTAGGCTCAAATCTGAACACATATTGGCTGCTTCTCTTGGAAGTACCTCTCTCTGAGTTAGCTTGTGCTGAAGTTGATCCAGCTATTTGGAAGCCAAGTAGAGTGGCAGGTTTGCAAGAGTATGGGGAAGTGCTGTGTGCTTGGATTTTAGTCTGCCTGTCATTCCCAAGTCTGTTCTAAAAATTGTTCTCCCTACTGTCTGTCGCACCCTTTTCTTAACAGCTTATCTTCTGGAAAAAAATTATCTTTACATTAAGCCTTTCCACTGGAATTCCATGCTGAATTCACATGTTTAATGGCCTTTCACCATTTCTTTTCTAAACCACGTATTGTGATTCCTGATATATGATATTCCTGGTAAGGAGCGTATCTGGTGCCTTTAATGGCAGATGCCCTGGGAGTAGTTCAGGAAATGGAAGGAGAGGGCAAAAATAGCTGATAGATATCCAGGCAAAGCACAGGAAAGCTTGAATCATATATATGACAGAACTGAACCTATTCCACTGCCAGAATGGTTACCAGAATAGAAGCTCAGGTTGCTCTCCTTCCCAACTTGTAGTGAATGCTAGGATATTGCTTTTCCACATTAGTAGCTCTTTCTGCATTGTCACTGTACTGCACATAAACCAGGCCTAGTGCTGGGGATAGATACCTGGGCCAGCGGAAGCTGAGAACATTTCTAGTTTCATTCCACATATGCAGCTCTCCCAGTTCTTTTTTTTCTTGTAGACTTAAAGCCATTCTTCCTGCCCTATCCCTCAAGGTATTCAAGGCCAGGTTGCATGGGGGACTAAGCAGCCTGGTCTGGTTGGGGGCAGCCCTGTCCCATTCTATGATATAAATGGCAGTTCAGCAATGCAATCATGAGGTCATGCTGTGCAAGTACTTTTAATGTCTGTCTTCTGCCGTCCCATTCTTTTTCTAGCTCATTCTGAGAATTTTAATCTGTTTCTTTTAAATGCTAGCTTTCCTTTTCCATTGACTTAGCAACTCCCTTCATTAACAGTTCTGCAATCCAGCAAATTCTCCTGTTAACTCTTAAAGTTCTATGTTTTTTCCCCACCACCTCTTATGCCCTGTATCTCTTGATTTCAGTTAATGATCAGATGTTGCTTTGCTTGTAGCCTATGGCTGTTTCATGCAAGACCCCATTTTATTCAGGTCCATTTTCCAAATCTCTCAGCGAATGGTGGAGCCCTTCCATCACTGGGTACATAGCATGGTGCTGCCTGTGCCCCAGAGCTAAATCCACACCTTTAGTGACACAGAAAGTAATTGGCTCCCAGAAAAGCCAGTACATTGGTACCTGCTGTAGAAAGTGTGATATGTTGTCAGGGTAACAGGCTGCTACATGTCTGGCCAGATGTAATCGCAGTGCAGCATACGGAAAAATCTTTCTTTCTCATCAGTGTAAGGAACTCCTTCTGTTTTGGATGTAGCTGCTATGTGGTTTGTTTGTGTGAGGTGCTTGAGTGATATGTTTGAGGAAAATTAAGCTGTGTATGAATTATTTAAAAATGAAAGCTGCCCTAAAATGTTGCTGCCTTATGACTGTCATTCCAGTAGTGGCACTTTCAGGTAGATGGTCAAAATGTGTGTAAGAAATAAATGATCAGGTATCTGACTTACACTTATGCACATTCAGTGGGCTTATTTAAAATACGTATTGCAAAAGTAGAAGGGGGTGAAAAAATAGATATGCTGCAATTAACACTAAGAATAGATAGGAATACTTGCATTGAAATACAGAAAAATGTAGCGCTTGCATTTAATTAAAAGTAAAGTGGAGTGGTTTGCCCCATTCCAGAATAAAGACAGGTGTTCGTTTTTTTTTTTTTTTTTTCTCATCAAAGCAATTCTTGCTCCCTATTGGAATGAAAAGAAAATATCAATGTTTATAACCAAGTGAAAATGTTAAATGTAGAAACTATAACACGTTTCTGAAATGTTGATCATCTCAGTAGGTTATGTATGATTAAAGTGTAATTTAAATTATTAATTGGGACAGAAGTATATAACAATAATTTAAACTTCAAAATAACATAGATCAAAATAATAGAACCAAAGAAATTCTATCAGATTCATGGGAATGAAATCAGAAACTGCGGAGGACTTGCTTTGACAGCTTCCTACAGAAAATTTTGTTGAAAGTAGCATGCTCTTATGTGTTTTGACAATATTTTGTTTTCTACAAGGGAAACTGCTTCATGAAAATTACCTCCTAAAACTAATATAAAACTCATATCAGAGTGTGGTAGACAGCATTTTCAATGTAGGCACTACAAAGCTGGGCACTGAGATATGTGTTCAGTGAACTGTGGAGGATGAACAGTTTTAACCTTCAGTTTTTGCCCTGTAGCCCCAAACCACATATCAGATTACATACACATGGATGCATTTTGGCTCTCGTGTCTTGAGCAGTGCTGGGAAGTGTAGTGTTTCACTTTAAAGACTTTGTGTTAAATGAGGATGTGTACAGTAAGGGGATATGGGAAGATGACAATCCCAGTTAAAGAGTTGGCTGGTTTCATGGCAAACGGTGTTCAACTTCTAGTTCTGAGCATTCAGTTGTCACTCATTAATAAGGTAGTTCACTTCTGTCTGTTATAGGGAACTAGCAGTGGATGTGGTGTACTCTGGTGTCCTGTTCCCACGCTCAATAGCAGTGGTGCTGCCAGGCAAAGGAGGATGTGGCTCCTGCTGGGTTTCTGGGCAGGTCTCAGCTACTATTCTGTGTTGTAATGGCTGTGTTTCAGGAGCAGATCCCTATGTGCTCATCAAGTGTGAGAACCAAAAAGTGCGCTCCCCTGTACAACACAATACTACCAGTGCGATTTTCAACAAGCAAGTCATTTTCTACAGGAAGAACATCGACAGTCCCATCATTGTCCAGGTAAGATAAACCACACTGAGTGAGCTGCCAAGGACAGGGGATAGAAAAAAGCAAGACAAGTGCAACAACTGCTTCCTTTACTGGGCTATGCTTGACACTGTTCAGCTGCTCCACTGATTTTCTAGCCCAGATCTTTTCCATTGAACAGCAACTGCTGTTAGTTAGGGAGCACTCTGAGCAGAGGGGATCTGGCTCTAACAGTCACAGGAAAAGCACTGCTAGAGAGCAGGAGGTGAGCACAAGCAGGCAGAGTGGCACAGACAAGCTGACTGCACGTAGGTTTTTACTGCTGATAAACTCAAACTGCTGATTTTCATTCCTCTTCTAGGCAGGCTTTGACCTAGAAAGTAAAAAGCTGCATTTAGCTCCTTATTTGCATAACATATGTAAATGAGCATGCAAATCCAGAATCTCCCACATGCTTGCTAGACAATTAGCTAAATTTAGATGTTTGCCTCCCCTCCTCACTGCTCTTCTGAGGGGTTAATGGGAATGAACCTCCTCCAGCACAACCTTTTTGAGTAGAGTGTGAAAGAGAAGCAGTGCTTCAGCTGGGGTTATTTCTGTCCCTTTGTCTCTAGGTCTGGAACAGCAACATCTTGTGTGACCAGTTCCTTGGACAGGCGCTGCTGGCAGCTTCACCCAGTGACCCCAGAGAACAGCAGACTCTGCAACTTCGAGGGAGAGGCAGCCAAGAAGCCGAGGAGGTGCCAGGTCACATCACCGTCAAGGTTTTTTCCAGTGATGACCTCGTAGAGCTATGAATACCAAAGCCCTGCAGAGCCAGACAGAGCTGTCACCTCGCAGCAGGAGGGCTTGTCTGTGCTTTCTGTGTGAATGACTTGTAAGCAAAGGTTTCATATACATACTCACAATTGCTTTAAAAAGAAAAAGCTCTCTAAAACTCTCCATTATTTTGGATAATGGGGAGGGAGGCTTTTAAAGGGAAAAAAAATGCGTGTGTGTGTGTATATATATATATGTATATATGTTCATCATACAGCAAGCAGTAGAAAAGGTGCCAAACTAACTGTCAGCAGATGAGCTCATTAAGACATGAGCTCATAACCATTTCCCCCAGCAGCATCCTTCAGTAGCTCGTGACATGTAAGCTGGAAGCAGACATGACTGTTCTCACAGATCCTAGCACATCATTACATGTTCCCACCAGGCAGGTAGGAATAGCTGTATCTCCACAGCCACATGCCAGCAGGCTGGCGGGCTGGCAAGGACAAGATGGACTCACATGTCTGATGTCCTTGTTCACTGCTACACTCCCCTTGGGAGGGGGAGTTTTTTGAGCTTTGATTGGAATTCTTTTCCCTTATACTGATTTTTTATTTTTTTTTTTTTATTAATTTCACTCCTATTGATAAAGATAAGACATTTCTGTTCCTTGGCTAAAACATTGTTACTCAAAGATTTCAGTCATAGGACTTAAAACCAGACAAGCCATGGCAACATTAAAATAGAGGGGCAAATCTTGGAGTGACATGACAGCTTTGCCTGCATAAAGGCTCTTTGTATTTTCCTGTTGTCCACCCCAAGCTGATTCACAAGTTGATATCTCTGGCCAAGAGATGACCATCTCACAGTTCAGCTGTGGCTTTGCCTGGAGGACAAACTCAATTATGGAAGCCACCTTCCTAAGGAGGTTTTGATTAATCTACTGTATGCTACAATGGAAGAATTCTCCCTTTGCCGTATTAGATGTGATGAGCAATACCAGAATGAAAGAGGAGAAAATTAGTTTGTGACAGGAACAGGTCTGTAAAACAAAGATGCCATGACATTAGCAGGTACCAGCTTTTCTTTTTGGAAATTTTGCATTGGTTTATTGCTGATAGAGCTCACATCTTTGAGAAACTTTAACTTGGGTATGAGGGAGGATAGGTATTATTCAGATATTGTTCAGATTTTCCTCAAAGCAAGGTTCCTTGTACAAACTTCCTTTTAACTTTTGCATGTAGCCTGTCAATAGGGCTCCTTCACAGCAGACATTTCTGAGTTGTCAAGCTATGCAGTGATTCTGGCAGTGTATAAGAGGCTTACTGTGTCAGGCGTCTCAGAAATGGATTTTGTATGGTTGCAAATTTTGGTCTTGAAAGTGAAGCTAAAGGCTTACTATTCTGTCTTTTGTACAGCTGGGAAACTTGTATTTCTGTGTACCTCATAACTATTTCAGCCATTTTGTGCAATGTTTATAACTTATAAAATGGCCCTTGGTGGAGTTAATGTTTTCAAAAAAGGTTTATAAGTAAGTCTGCTCAGGGCATCCAAAAGGATCAGTGCTGTGGGAGGAAAATGATTTGTCTGGCATGTTAGGGCTGGAATATAAAGCTATGAAGGATATTACGCTGCCATCAGCTTAGCTGCATGTACCAAGTACCTAAATCCAACTATTTTTTAAATAGCTTGGGCTGAAGCCATTTTGCACGCAGAGCATTTGTCAGATGTGAGCTACATGCAGTTGGCAGCCCCAAAGGCAAGTATAACTCTTCTCTGAAAACTCACGGCTTTAGAGTTGCTTGCTCTCAGATATGATTGTAAGGTGCATTTCTGTTAAAAAAAGCATGAAACGTATCATACAGACCGGAGCTCAGGCAAGACACAGAGAGCTGCAACTCAGTCTGGGCTGACCTGTTTACGTTAGTTTTCCTATTTTACTCCACAGTAGCTCTGCTTCCTCCTAGCAGCCCATCAGACACACCTTCCTGCACAGGCAGAGCACCAGGGTTGCAGAGCTGTTGAGGATCACAGGCAGCAAAGGTGAGCACCTGGGGAGTTGTATAATGCCCTTTTCAGACAGTTTTCCAGAACTCTTTCTTCTGAGATAGGTGCAGTAAGGAGGGATTGGCTCATCTGGCTGATTGACTGGGGTCAGAGCATAACCCAAAGAAGGTTCCTGTCAGGCTGCTTTCCCAGCTCAAGTGTTACCAGAACCGGGTGGTGTTTGTCAGCATTCAGCCATACCTTGTGGGAAATGTTCTGTTTTGTGCTAACTGCCTGTATGTGTGTGCCACCTTCGGTGAAGGCTTTGGTCCCCCGCAAATCCCCACATTAAAACAGAGGAAACAAGTCTGAAAAATATTTTATTTCAAATTTCAACCTTTATTTTTTTCAATAGGAAGCGACCTGAATAAAAGGCTAACAAAATGTAAACCGCTTGAATAATTTCTGAAACATTTTTGTTTCAGATAAACGAAAAATCACTTCAGCGTCACCCCAGCAGCCCTCAGTCAGTTTCCGGGCGGGGGGAGAGAAAAACGCGCAGATCCCCGCACTCCTCTGTTCCCCTCACAGCTGCTCCGCGCCGTTACCGCCCGCAGCTCCGTGTTGGGCGCGCGCGGCCGCAGGGCGGCGCCCGAGCCGCGCGCGGATCGCTTCAGGCTGTGGTGAGGGGCTCCCGCGCGCCGCCATTCCGCACCGTCCCCCGCAGGCGGCGCTGCGGCCGCCATCTTACCTGGCGGCCTGGCACGTGGCGCTTGGGGACTTCATGGCGTGCTTTGTGGGTGCGACTCAGGTGAGAACACGCGTGAAGAGCTCCTGGTCGTATATACGTATGTGTGCTTATGCATTTATAAATGATTAGTTTATAGAGACAGTTATGTAAGCTCTGTGTCTATGTAGATGTCTGTTAATGTAGACAGCAGTGTTATACAAGGAGCTGTATACCTCTGTGTGCAATATTTGTTTTTAAAAGCTTAAAAATATATCTACATGTACACCTATACACACGTATAGTTAAAAAAAATTGGATGGCTAGTGAGTGTGTTAGTGATGGAACATTCACTATCTCCCTATATACATTAAAACCTAACTATATACATTAAGCCCACTGTTTGTGTGTGTACGCACCAATACATCTATAAAATACATGCTAGAACTCCATATAGATGACTAGAGAGAGAATTATGTCTGTATTTGTGTATATATATATATATGTACCCCTAGACACAAATACATGTTATGTCCTACATAATGTAGTTAGAGTGCATTACAGTGTCTCCTTTGCATGGCTGACATATGTAGGTATACATAGATAATACACATAGTATTAGGTTTTTGTCTCAGATCTCATCCTATGTATCTTTTACATATGTACCTACACACAGCTCTTTACGTAGATACACGTATACATGATGGATTGAGGATGTTATGTATGTGTATGTATGTATAGTTGTGTATGTATACATAGCTATACACATGCTTACACTATAGTTATCTGTTCAAGGGGCTTTGAATGTTTGTATATACACACATATACATATATATATATTACATACAAACACACATGTGTATATGTGTGTGCATATACATATATATATAGCCTTAATTTGCACTGAGGGAGGTTCATGTATTAGGAAAAACAATTTCTTGGAAAGAGTGGTGCTGCACTGGCACAGGCTGTGCATGGAAGTCAGCATCCCAGGAGATGTTCAAGAAAAAGGTCAGCATGGCACTGAGGGATGTGGATAGTGGGCACATCAGGATAGGCTGGCAGTGGGACTTGGTGATCTGAGAGGTCTTTTACAGCCTGAATGATTCTTTGATTCTGTATGAGAAAGAGGACACTCTTCTGTCTATGTATGTGTGTTGTGTGCGTGTACATATATATACACATATATAAAGTATGTATAATATATAGTTTATATTATAGATCATGCACAGTAAATATATATAAATAGTGTGATACGTATTTATAAAAGGGACTCTATATATACTGTATATACGCAACGTATAAGATAAATACTATATTACATGTAGTTGGCTAGAGGGGGAGTATTTTCCAGAGAGAGGGTGCTATATATGGATGCTATATATGATACATTTATGCATATAACTGTAGCATATGCTAGATACCTTTAAATATATTGGGTATATGTAGAAATATACTCTGTATACATCTGTGTATACACACTTGCACAAACACATTATGTATATCTTTTTAGCAATCTATATACATTTATGTTCTAATTATGTACACAAAATACAGTGATTTATAGTTGTATGTATCTGTATGTGTGTGTATGTATATATATATAAACATACATATAGTGATGGAAACTGGACTGCCACAAGTCCATAGGGCTGGATGAGATTCACCCAGGAGTGCTGGGGGAACTGGTGGAGGTGATAGCCGAGCTGCTCGCCATTATCTACCAGTGTTCCTTGTTGTCTGGTGAGGTCCCAGAAGGCTGGAGGCTTGCCAGTGTGACTCCCATCTACAGGAAGGGTTGTAAGAGGAGGAACCAGGAAATTACAGGCCTATTAGCCTGACCTCAGTGCCAAGAAAGGTTATGGAGCAGATTGTCTTGAGGGAGATCATGCTGCATGTGCGGGACAACCAAGGGGATCGGGCCTAGCCAGCATGGGTTCACCAAGGGCAGATCCTGCTTGACCAACCTGATCTCCTTCTATAATTTAGTGACCCGTCTGGTGGACGAGGGAAAGGCTGTTGATGTAGTCTACCTAGACTTCAGCAAAGCCTTTGATGCTGTCTCCCACAGTATTCTGCTGCAGAAACTGGCAGCCCATGGCTTGGACAGTTACACTCTCGCCTGGGTAAGGAACTGGCTGGAGGGCCGGGCCCAGAGAGTGGTGGTGAATGGAGTTAAATCCAGCTGGCGACCAGTCATGAGTGGTGTTCCCCAGGGGTCAGTGCTGGGGCCTGTCCTCTTCAGTATCTTTATTGATGACCTGGATGAGGACATTGAGTGCATCATCAGAAAGTTTGCAGATTACACCAAGTTGGCTGGAAGTGTCGATCTACCTGGGGGTAGTGAGGTCCTATAGAGGGATCTGGACAGGCTGGATAGCTGGGCTGAAGCCAATGGGATGAGTTTCAGCAAGGCCAAATGCTGGGTCCTGCACTTTGGCCACAACAACCCCAGGCAACGCTACAGGCTTGGGGCAGAGTGGCTGGAAGATGTGTAGAGGAAATGGACCTAGGGGTGTTGGTTGTTGCTTGGCTGAACGAGCCGGCAGTGTGCCCAGATGGCCAAGAAGGCCAATGGCATCCTGGCTTGCATGAGAAACAGTGTTGCCAGCAGGAGCGGGGCAGTGATTACAACAAAGCTGGTGAGGAGTCTGGAGCACAGGCCTTATGAGGAGCTGCTGAAGGAGCTGGGATTTTTCAGTTTGGAGGAGGCTCCGGGGAGACATTACTGCTCTCTATAACTACCTGAGGGGAGGTTGTAGTGAGCTGGAGGTTGGCCTCTTTTCTCATGTAATTGGTGATACTAGAGGGAATGGCTTCAAGCTGTGCCAGGAGAGATTTAGGCAGGATGTTAGGAAATGCTTATCTGAAAGAGTGGTCAGGCACTAGAATGGGCTGCCCAGGGGGGTGGAGTCGTCACTGACCCTGGAGGTGTTCAAGGAATGTTTGGATGTTGTGTTGAGGGATATGGTTTAGTGAGAGCTACTGGTGATAGGTGGATGGTTGGACTGGGTGATCTTGTAGGTTTTTTCCAACCTTGGTGATTCTATGAAAGGGTATTACATTGCAACATGATCATTTTTGTACGTATTTGTACATTATATAGAAAATATACTGTATAACATAAAAAGCATTTATAAAATCAGTATATCATGTATTTTATTTATTTATACACACACGCTGCTTCAAAAGTAATGCCTCCTATTTTGTGATTCTAGTCTGCAATGTCAGAGGCAGATGCTGGCAATATAGCAGTAAAGGCTGAACCTTCCCACCAGTATCCTGTTATGTTGTTGCTGTGTGACAGATGGCAGCAGAGGGGCAGTCTGACAGCATGGCATCTGACATGGAAGTGCAGATGAAGCAAAGGTGTGTCATTGAATTTCTCAGTATGGAGAAATGGCACCCACTGCCATTCCTTGATGCTTGCTGAATGTTTCTGGAGACCAAACAGTGGGTGTGAGCACAGTGAGGGGTGGGGAGTGCACTGCAGTGGTGGTGACAGAGCAGGGTGCTTCCACTGGTGTAAATTTTGATGAGCAAAGCATGTGGGCTCTTGTTCATGGTGATGAAAATGCACAGCTAATGCTGGTGACCGTGTTGAAAAAGAGTGTTTTGTAGCTGAGAATTTGCTCTATCAAATAGTTTTGTTGTGCTCTTTATATCTATTGTTGTTTTCATGGAAATAAATAGGCATTATTTTTGGCAAGTCCTGTGTAGTGGCACATAGTAATACATGTATGTATTAAAATACAAGTTTGTATATATCAGTGTATTTCTGTATGTGTAATTATACACTATACTAATACATACAGATAGCAAGAGCATATATATATATTTCATATGTATATATATTTTATATGACTGAATTTTTTGCTGTACATACATGCAAAATATGTACATAAATATGTTATATTCTGTATCTTATTTTGAGCCAGTTAAGGAGAGAGACTACTATATGTGTCCTTATATAGATATATATATGTTTGTGTTGAGAGGCTGTATGTGCACATCTGCAAATCTAGAATACATACAAACTGATAGAGAGCGTGGACCCTTACATGGGTTTTTCAGGGAGGTACACATATCTCTGTATATATACATGTATATAAGGATAGCTTAGATGATATATGTGTTAGAGAAGTTCTATAGCATCTCTTCTGGGTACTCGTGCACACACTAGTTTGCATGCTCAGATGCCTGTCTACATATGTTTTTTACGTCTATTTTACATATAAACTGTATTTGTGCATTTCATGTGAGCAATGCACACACTATTGCTAGCCATGCTCCTTGCACTGTTGGGTTTCCTGACAGGTGAGCTGAAGGCACCCAGCAAGTGCTGCTGCTGCAGTGCTTTCCTCCCATCTGCTCAGGTCACACAGCAGCATTGGAGAAGCCAGGTGAGGTGCAGCATGGGAGCAGGAGGTGCTGGAGTGAAGAGATGCAGAGCTGCAGCACAGTGAGGTGGGCAGATAGCAGTGGGTTGCAGGAGGCATTTGAGGGCCTGGAGGTAAGTGCAGACTCAGCAGAGCTGGGACACCTTCACAGACCTGGTGGCAACAAGTAGCTAGGATCTATGTCTTGGTATGAGTTAAACACAAATTGGTGACACTGGGAGGCCAGGCTGAGGTCTGGGGGAATGTGCCAAATGCATTCACCCACAGCAGGTAGCTGGAGCCTGCCCCTCCCACCTTCCTCCACTGTTAGCAAAGAACCCCTCTGAGTTAGAGCATTTACTAGATGCAGTACAGACATGCAGAGTACAGCAAGTACAGGAGTGGTGTTCCCATGGTGGCCCATATACATTTAATTTTGGTGTTACTTAACTTTTGAGCACTCAGCCAGGTGATCTTATCACAGCTTTATGTGAGCAGATGTATAAGAACTTATTAAGCAGTTTAAAAGACTAATGAGGTTCTCGTAGGGGCAATCACTACTGCCATCTCTGTAACTCACCACATTCATGAGGAGGGGATGTTTTGTTTTGTTTGTTTGTTTTTTAATAAATACAGAGCAAATAGACATAGAACACATTGAAAAGTTGCAGCACAGTGTATTTACCCAAACCAGAGCAGCAAAGAGTCTGTTTGCTGCTGCAGACAAAAGAAGCTCTAGCAGGAGAGGGTAAGTATAGGCTTAGACAAAGTAAATCCTGCTTCATAACATGATGTTTTGGTGGCATGGGTGAAAGCTGAAAGTTTTTCACACAGACAAACAGATGAAGACTTTCTAAGGGCACATGATTGAGGTTGGTAATCTTTATCCATCCCTGACATTTTTTGTCAAAAAGTATCAACGGAACGTATAGGAAAAGCTGTAGTTCACACACTCCACTGGTATTTATAACTTTTATTTGCAATACTTTAGGTCCAAGTTTCAAACTGCAATATTTTTACACTCAAGACACAGTCATGCACAATCCATATTTCAATTTTCTATTGCTTCAACCACAATTTAAAATAACTTAATATTGGAAACAAAACCCAAAATCTTTAAAAAAAAAAAAAAAAAAAGGATGCTGAGGTCAGTAAGATGGATCCATGCCATCAGCACATTTACAAAGTAAATAACTTAGTTCTCTTTTTAAAAAGATCATAATTACCTCTTAATCCAAAGTTACAGAAGATTTTCACTACACATTTGTTTTTGCTTTTTATCTTTTTTGTTGTTTTTTTCTTTTCTTTTTTTCTTTTTTTTTTAAACAGATAACATGTCCTAAAAAAGGAATGTACAGCAAAATGAGATACATTTCTGATAAACAATGAAAATGTAGGCTCCTCCTCTGTTTACTTTTGTCTGGATACCCTGAATAAAAAACCTAGCAGACACCAGTCTAGATCTAAACTGGTTGCTTCAGACTAAACTGGAGTTTAGAGTTTGTTACATCCTGATCCAGTCAAGAGTTGCAGAATTCTTTTGCAGATCTTTCTAAAATGTATGTCTGTATGCATAGCATCTGCAGTGCAGATGCAGCACCAGTACACCAGAGCAGCTCCCAGTGTGAATTTGGGCTCCACTTGGGAAGGTGGTGCTCTTTTCACCAAGGGCTACACAGTCATTTGCTACTGGTTCCCATCTTGAGCAGCTCTCCTGCTACAGCAGATAGCAGCAGCTTGTGAGTGTCACACCTGAAGAGCTGAGAGGCTTTTTTCCTGTTGCTGTTCTACAGACTGATTTAGCAGCATTATTTAACACTAATATAAACAGTGTGACAAAAAGCAATTGCCTCTGTGCATCTTTAGCTCAAAGGTAAAAAATCTCAGCAGATATGGATGTAAGAGAATTGCATGCTTCTAATTTTCTATGCTGGCTCACTTCTGACATAAATAGCTTTGCATGATGGAACAAAAGAACAAGAGCAGCTTCCCTACTATCCACCTGCTCCCTTGGCTGTGCAACACCTCTGTGGACCCACCTCAGTACCTAGGGCTGTATCAGTACTTGCTTATTAAAGCAGCAAGGTTCTGCTGCCAAGGAATCCAGCAACCAAATTCTTATCAACTTCGGTGGGAACAGAAGCAGTACCTGTATCTGTCCAGCACAACAACAGACTTAGATATCAAAAGAAACACAGAATATTCAGCAGCAAAAGTATCTGACTTCAAAAAACAACCAGCTGCCACTACTAACCCATGTTTTCAATAGTGTTATGTCAGCCTGTGACAACTGGAAGCCCTTGATGCAAGCACTGACTTGAGATGGCTGGCCACAGACTCTAGGTTAAGCACAAAGTGGAGGATAACTCTGTCCAGACCAGGCTTAAAAATTTTAAATGCTGCTGTAAACAGGCAGTTCAAAGGGCAGAAAAATGAGTACCTCAAGCACTTTATCTGAGCCAGTTGCACAATCTTGGTTAGCAGTCACTGAGCATAGAAAGAGGCAAATAAAGGAACAACACTCAAGTCACAGAGGTTAGAAAGAACAGGACTTTTGAAAGATCTTTTGCATTTCTCTCCTCAGAAAACAAGCTGTTTCATGCCCCTGAAAGGATTGAAGGACAGAGGAGAGGTGGCACACAAACAATACTCATGTTCTCAGTTTGTACACTTCCTCCCTTAGAGCACTGTGACTCA